AGTGATAATCTGAGTAAAGTCAAGGCTGAAATTGGTGATCTGACCCAGACAGTTCATGTACTTGAGGGAGAAATCTCACGTGCCAAAACCTATGTAAGCACAGCCTCTTGGGCTTCGGTGAGTTAGTACTGCTGGCTGTATGGAGACATTCATTGTGTGCTGGGAAATGTTCAGTCAGCCCTGTGAAAAGAGGATGGAGCTCTCTATTTCAGCTTGTGGAGCTGTATCCAGTTGCAGTAGGATTGAGTTTGACCATTAGGACTGATTTCTATCACCCAGCCCAGCTGTCCTCTTACCATATTTTCTTGCATATAACACACTTCCAAATAAAATATGCGCCTTGTTTTTAGAAGGCAGAATGTGCAAAAAAGTTTCTCTGCAGGGTCATGGCTCACAACATGACACAGAGCACCTAGGAAGTGTTGTATCAGGACACTTCTGGTGCCAGCTGCCTTGCCCAGATTGTCTCCCAGAGTGCCAGGCTTCCTAGACTCTATCTGTTTCTAGGACTGTCACACAAGGTTATGCCCCAGACCGCCCCCTCCAGACTGCAGCAAGACTGTAATTTCTCTATTGTAATAGCACTTTATATAAATTCCTGGAAATTATTTCCACATCACAAGCCTCATCGAGATGCTACAGTGCTCAACCAATACAATAATTGGTCTAATAAAATTCACCCAAGGAACCTTGTCAACCAATATCTATGATTGCAAGTGGGTTAACACAGGACTCTGTCATCTTGGCATTTGCATAGTATGCACAGTGTCTCCAGGCTTGTTTCTTTTCCAGTGAAGAAAACAATTTTCCCACTTAAGATTATAGAGAAACAGGGCTGGAAGGGACCTTCAGAGGTCATCTAGTCCAGCCCCTACATGAGGTAGGATTGGCCCTACCCAAACCATCCCAGACAATCCACAATCTAAACTCGACATAAAACTAGTGTCGATCTTGACACAACACAGACCTAACACATGAACCTGCCACAGGTAAAGCAGGGGAACCATGGAAGCCAGCGTCCTGCTTCTATGAAATGTTGTCAATGTATGCACAAGAGATCCCAGGTAGAGGCCATGTCCCTCATTACAGAGGAAGGCAACCCCCCCCCCAGTCTGTACCAATCTTACCATGGGGTAAATTCCTTCTTGACCCAAAATATTGCATCAGTCTAAATCTGAGCAGAGAGGCAAGACCTTCTAGGAACCTCTGGCTTTGGTCCCAGCAGGAGCACTGGCACATCTCAACTTAAAATACCACCCCCGCTCCAATTTTGGGGGGAAAGGTGCATGTTGTATGTAAGAAAATGTGGTAACTTTGCAGAGAGATGCTGCTGTGAAAGGAGAGTTTGGCCCGCACGACTAATCAACAGACTGGAAACTGTTGGGAGGGAAAGAAATGATGCAGAAACACATGTCTGGTAGTAGAGATGGCCTACTGAAGCTAATAAATTCTCTTCATCTCAGTCAGGTTGATCTGAAACTCATGTGCTTTGCATTGCAAAAAGCCCAGGTGAAACTCTTTCCTGCCCATGGCAGGGGGTCGGACTTGATGATCTGCTCAGGTCCCTTCCGACCCTAGAAACTATGAAACTATGAAACTACGTTCTAAGACTCTGTCTTACCTCTGCAGCGTTGCAGGCAGGAAAAAAAATTAGCTGATACTAAGGACCGAGGGGAGACTGCTGTGAAAGGTGCCACGTGCAAAGTGGCTGAGCTGAAGACAGCTCTGCAGAAGGCTGAGCAGGACATGGCCCGCCAGCTGTGGGAGCACCAAAAGCTGATGAATGGCAAGCTGGCGCTGGACATTGAGATTGCCACCTACTGGAAGCTGCTGGAAGGGGAAGAATACAGGTGGGTCCAGAGATAATTCTGCTGCCCATCTCTTCCTGGCATCATCAAAAAGTAACCTGTGAGTCTGAAAACTAAGGCAAAGGTATAATCATACAGCTGCCAAGATCCATATTCATATTATCCTGGAGAATGGGCACACAGGGTTTTCTATGTGAATGAATGAGAGTTAGTGTTTTATTTCTAGTCCTCCTGCTAGAAAAAAGTCTTCAAAATTGACAAATGCTTGTGAAACATCCCCATTTAGAATGACAGAATAATAGAAAATGTGGGTTGGAAAGCAGGACTGTCCCCAACTAGACCATCGCAGTCAAGGCTTTGTCTAGCCAGGTCTTAAACACCTCCAAGGATGGAGCCCACAGCCTCTCTGGGTAACCTGTTCCAGTGCTTCACCACCCTCCTAGTGAGAAAGTTCTTCCTAATAATTAATCTAAACTTCTCTTGCTGCAACTTGAGTCCATTGCTCCTTGTTCTGGCATCTGCCACTATGAAGAACTGTCTAGCTCCATCCTCTTTGCAACCCCCCTGCAGGGAGTTAAAGGCTGCTATTAAATCCCCTCTCTTTTCTTCTCCACACTAAATAAGCCCAGTTCCCTCAGCTTGTCCTCATAAATCATGTGCCCCAGCCCCCAATACATTTTCATTGTCAGCTGCTTCACTCTGTCATCCTTTCTGTAGTGGGGGGCCCAAAACTGGACACAGGACTCCAGATGTGGCCTCACCAGTGCTGAATAGGGAGGAAGAATCACTTCCCATGACCTGCTGGCAATGCTCCTACTCTGCATGAGGATGCCGTTAGCCTTCTGGGCAACAAGGGCACACTGGTGGCTCATATTCACCTTATTGTCCACTGTAACCCCCAGGTCCTTTTCTGCAGAGCTGGTGCTTAGCCAATTGATCCCCCACCTATACTGGTGTGTGGGATTGTTCTGTCCTAAGTGCAGGACTTTGCACTTGTCCTTATTGAACGTTATGAGATTTCTTTTGGTCCAATCCTCCAATTTGTCAAGGTCTCACTGAATCCTAGTCCCACCCTCCAGTATATCCACTACTCCCCCCAGCTTGGTGTTATCCATGAACTTGCTACGGGTGCACTCCATCCCATCTTCTAGGTCATTGGTGAAGATACTGAACAAAACTGGCCCCAGGACTGACCCCTGGGGCACTCCACTTGACATTGGCTGTCAGCTAGATATCGAGCCATTGATGACTACTCTCTGAGCCCAATGATCCAGCCAGTTTTCTATCCACCTTACAGTCCATTCATCCAACCCATACTTCCTTAGGTTGCTTGCAAGAATGTTGTGGGGGACAGTATCAAAAGCCTTGCCTACATCAAGGTATATCACATCTAGTAATCTCCCCACATCCACAGAGCCAGTCATCTCATAATAGAAGGCAATCAGGTTGGTCAGGCATGACTTACCCCCGGTGACTCCAAGCTGATTGATCCTAATCACCTCCTTTTCCAAGTGCTTAGAAAAAAATACAATTTTCCTTAGAAAATTGTATTTGTGTCAGCAATTTTTGATCAGCCTTAGTCATGGTTTTATATTGGGAGCAAATGGGAAGTATGCCATAATATGGAAGAAGCTTGTTTTCCTTGCACTTTTAACAGCATGAATTGGGAGTAATTCCAGTGATGAGAGTGGAAAGTTATGAATGTAAAGGTACCATAAAAGGAGGATTAGGCCTAAGTGCCTTTTTTGCAGGGATCAATTTAATTGCTGGCTAGATTTACATAATCACTACCTTCCTTTCCTCATAGGTTGGGTGAAGCACCCCACCCTGTGAACATCTGTAAGTAATTAGTGTCTTCACCTTGGTATATATCATGACTAATCTGATCCTTTTCCAATGGACCTCCTAAGTTGGTTCATTTGGGATTCCACACACATGCTTCACCTCTTTTCCCAGGTGTTCAAAGAAGCTAAGGTGCAGTCATATGAGATTCTGCTTCCTTTTGTGCAATAGGATACTATTCCAGATGCAGGATTAGATTCAGAGCTAGAGGTGTATGCAGAACCACCAGAGCGATACTGCTCCAGTACATGCCGTGATGTTAGCTCACTGGATCAGAGAATTAATTGCATGATTGTAAGTGGAAAACAACCATCCATGCAGTGGAACTGATCTCCTATTTGTTTCCCTTCTGCTTGCTTTTTGGCCTGTGTCTTTATTCTTTCAAATAAATTGACCTAACTGAGCAAAGTTGACTTAATGGTCTCCAGTTTTTTTATTTCTTGGTCTCAGTACAAGGTATGCCATCTACCTTTTTAACAAAGATGCATGTAACCGTGTGACTGTAGGACCTGGTTCACCACCACATTACCAATGAGTATGAAAAATGGAATGTGTTGTTTGCAGGTAACTTGTCCAGAAGCCATGGGCTGAAATAATTTTTGGAAAACTAGTCATGGAAGTGAGACTTATAAGATCTCCTCAGTGCATCTCTCTCTCCTTCTTCCTATGAAAGTGGGACAAAGCAGTGTATAAGTGAGGCAATCCCTAGAATTGGGGAGTCGCCTCTTCATTAATTCAGGAGATTGAATTGACTTCAGTGGGACTCGCTGGGAGGACAAGCACCAGTCAGTAGAAGAGCCTAGTCATCAAGGCCTAGTCATCAAGGCCTGTCACCCACTGACGTACACCTGGGAAGTCTCTGGAAGAACTCAGGCCCTCTGAGCACAGTTGGGCGTAGGGGTGAGCAACTTGAGCAATTACTTGAGGTCAAGGCTCCACTTAGATCCACCCATGTATTCAAGGAGGGAGGTGTTCCCACCTTATTAGCCTCTTTCTTCCCCCCACCCTCCAAGGCTGTGTTTAGCATTGGTTTTGAGTCACAAGAGTGAATTTTTTTTTGGAGTCACTTGGGCGCTTCTGAAAATTTTAGCCAAAGATGACCCTCCCCCTTTACTGGGCTAGATGGATCTGCTGCTTTCATTGCTCTCAAGAATGGAAAGAAAACAGAAACTCTCAAATCGTAACCATTGATCTGCTATGTCAGTTTATTGGAAACACAGAACAAAACCAAGACAAAAGAAACCTTAAGAATTAATGACCACAACCTCCCCGCCCCCTCCCCGCCCCCCCCCCGCGTCCCATCAGATTATAAAGAATAAGTAGTTTCCTCTTCTTTGGCAATCGACCTGCTTAGAGCAAGTGATTTACTGAGTTGACAATAGGCCTCATGTGGTAGATGTTGAAGAGCATCAGATCTTCCTATGCAGTGATGACACATACAGGTAGATGCATTAGGGTCAGGAATATCACTATTGTTGGAGTGTCTTAAACTGTACCCAGGTGGTTTATAGGCCTTGTGCCTTCAATCTTGACCAATCAAGCTTGCTCCTCCAAATCTACAATAATCCTTCCAATCCAAACCCTTTAAGGAAAATAGAGCCCTACCCTCACGTTTGCCTGATCACCAGAATCCCAAAGAAAACAAGAAAGGTTGAGGAGCAGTTTCAAAATGAACCAAGCAGTAAGTTAGTGGAGCATCTGCCTAATAGCAGCAATGGCTGCTGTAAGTTCAATACCCTCTGAGGAAAAAAATTGGAAAAACATGCCTCATCTGTAAGAAAATAATGGTCTTGAGCCTACACAGACAGGCATTTTGGGCCAGATTTATACTGACTTAGGCTGTAAATATGTTTGTAGAGGGTTTGATTTGTTGCCAGGAGAGCAATGCTGGTGAAAGCCCTAGAATAGTTGTGAGTTTATGGGTAGACAGCAATTGGCTATCAGTGGGTGCATCTACACATTCATTAATGCACTTTAGGTAATGCACATTAAGTTTAATACCTCCATTGTGAGGTACTAGAAAAAGGTGCGTTTGCCTATTTTAGTGCATTTTAGCTAAAGAGCATGTTTTTTGTGATGCTTTAATGCACATTAAAATAGGTTAATGTGCATTAAAGTGCATGTGTAGACATGCCCAGAATATCTTATATCGGATAAAAATGGGTAAGGACCAGTATACCTGCGTTCATGGCAGAGGGGTTTTTTTGCTGTAGTTTAGTTAACATATAAAGCAAAGCAATAAAACCTCAGTATAGAGATGTTGTAAAGCTTCATACGACCCTCCAGCTCTGTGGAGGAAACTACCAATAAGAGTCAGTGGGTGTGCATTTATGCTGGCTTAAATTTACTGCACAGTAAATTACTGCAGTAAGCAGGAATAGGCCAGTGTCTGCACATGCAGGTGTTAAAGCACATTAACACTGTGTCTAAACTGACTTGGGACTAAAGTTGGTCCCAAGTCAGTCCACACACACAATGTTACTGTGCAGTATGGCATCTACATGTGCTTTACTGCACAGTAACTAATCAGGTATAAATTTGGTACTTGCATGATGCAGGTATCAAATTTACACACAAGTCCGTATAAGTCACCATATTTACTGCGCAGTACGGGCATGCATGTGTAGACGCGTGCCTGTACTGCACAGTCATTTCTGTTACTGAGCAGTTAATGCGCACATGTAGATGCACCCAGACTTTTGCTTTAGTGATACCTGCTTTAATATACTTTATGCTTACCTGAATGGTGCCAAAGGGCTTTATAGAAACCAAGAATTGGGCCATTTGTTTGGAGCAGTGGAGAACTGGGCACTTTGTCTAAATGACCTATGTCTAAAATAAGATATGACTCATAAGGGGAGTGGGGAGAGAGGTTCAGTCTTGCACTGAATAGAACAAATTGGAAATTGCACAAAAACCAAGGACTAAAAACAGACTATTGGGAGGGCAAATCAATGAATCTCCCCAAAGACCAGCCCTGTGAAAATCCTGTGTGCACTGAAGTCAGCGACAAAACCCCAAGGGGCTCAAGAGCCTGGGATTGTACCATAGCAATTCGCCCCTGCGGTGCTGTTGCTGTTGTTAGGCAGAGAACCATTTATTTAATTCTAGAAGTGGGGAGGCCTTTTCCATTCATGCCTTTGATTTTTAAAGCTTTGTTCTGGATGAACTGGTGGACACAAATCTAATATTGGAGCTTCTTGTACTTCTGTTGCTGACGCTGCCTACAGGATCACAGGGGGAAGACATGTCTCCCACAGTTGGTCCCATCGCAGTGCTGTATATGCCTCGGCCGCAGCTAACACCACTGATTCTCATCGAGCTTCTGGTTGCTGAATAACCACCACCGATGCAGGGGTCAGGGTCACAGATGAGCCCACCCTGGGATCTGCACACAGCTGCAAAAAGAGGAGCAACATTGTGTTTCAGCTGATGAGCTTCCTGGGAAAAGATGCAACCTGGGAAGCAGGCTTTGAAACAGGTGAGCCATCCAAGTACTTACAGATGTTGACAGGACAGGCTCCTTCAGCACCCAGCCTGTTAGGAAGAGAGAATAAAAGTGATTAAATGTAAATAAGGGCCTAGTTTTCTTTAAATGAAGGGTTGTAATGGATTAGAGTAGCTGAGCTCTCATGGTGACTGACTGTCCTAATACAGTGGGACCCATTCTGATTTTACAATAGTTTTATGCATAGGAGCTGACTTTTTCATTTTTGCTGGAGGGAGGAGGCCTAAGATGATGGGCATGTGAAAAGTTTTATATATTTCAAGTGACTGCCCTCTTCCCGAGAGGGGCCAGGGCCCTCAGGCCCCCACATACTCGGCACCTCTGGTTTTATGTCAATTTTATGCCAGTAACTCCATTTTGTCATTAATGAAGTTACCAGAGTTGGAACGAGCAATTCCACCATCCTGGGCAGAGTAGGCGGGGTTGTGGGGGGTGTCAAGGGTCATAGAGGTAGCAGGGGGAGGGGGCAGGGGCTAAGATGGGGTGGGCAAAATGCGGCCCGTGGGCCAGATGCGGCCTACCAGGCCATTCTATCCGGCCCGTGGGGCCGCTAAAAAATTTAGAAAATTAATATTTATCTGCCCTGGGCTGCCTGTCATGTGGCCCTCAATGGCTTGCCAAACTCAGTAAGCAGCCCTCCACCCGATATAATTGCCCGCCCCTGGGCTAAGTGCTGTAGAGCCCCACTTGACCCATCCTAGATATGCTACTGGAAGTTACTCATCATCTACACCAGTGGCTCTCAACCTTTCTAGACTCAAGTGCCCCCTATTAGGCTCAGGGCACCCCTCAGAAAATGCCAGACCCTAATTTTCACTTAGTTTTTGACTATGGAATAATAATAGAATAATTTTTCTGTTGAAAAGAACTTAGCAAGACCACAATGGGAAGGATGGTCTTAACACGATGCATCCATATTGGTAATATCTGGGTTTATCTTGTGAATCATGGTTGCATGACACTTGGCATCCTTGAAAGGCTCTCAAGGCACCACCGGGTGTCTTGGCCGCCTGGTTGAGAATCAGTGATCTACACCATGAGCAGGGAGGTCAGAGCTAGGCCACTTATTTCTGACCTACTTTGACCTGAGTTCCCAATGTCTAACAAACTGCCTCTATTCACCTTTGGCACCTAAATTCTTTTGCTTCCAAGCCTTGCATATGAATAGCGATGGCAAACTCACAAGGGGCACTGTAGCTATTATAGCAGTGGGTGTTATAGCTACCAGGCAATTACAGAAGGAAGAAAGGAGGGATGGAAGAAAGAAGGATGCCTTAGAGCTCTATTATAATTTGTATTTCAAATCTTTAGGGGACTTGGACGACTGTCTTGGACTCACCTGTATTCTTCTCCCTCCAGCAACTTCCGGTAGGTGGCGATCTCGATGTCCAGCGCCAGCTTGACGTTCATCAGCTCCTGGTACTCCCGCAGTTGGTGGGCCAGGTCAGCCTTGGCCTGCTGTAGGGCAGTCTCCAGGTCAGTCAGTTTGCACCTGGCATCTTTAATAGCCAGCTCCCCTTGCTGCTCCGCCTCGGCCACAGCTGCTTCCAGTTTGCAGCGCTGCAAGGAGAGAAACAGGTCAATCCTGGCAGGTGAGTCTTTCCTTTCTCTTATTGTTAGCACTTTATGTTCCTATGTTCTGCCTACTTAATACCATTAATCTTTATGGAGTCCACAGAGTGGCTCTAGGAAGCACTTGGCTGTGATTTAACCTTCAGTTTGGCTTTGCCCAGGCATTTGCTCCAGATATAGAGAATTAGAGTCAATCCGTGACAGCCATTGCCACAGAAAGTCACAGCAAGGGAGGAGAAGTGGGGGGTTGGGGAGGGAATGCCTGATCCTGAAATTTCTGGGCTCACGTCTTTCAAAATAGAATCAGATTTGAGTGTTTTTACAGACTTTGGGGGAGTTGGGTCACACACTTCTGCTAGAGCAAATCTGGAGTAACTCTTGAATAACTCCAGTGTAAACCCAGCATAAGTATGATTAACACCAGTCCCTGCTTACCTGGTCCTTTGCAGTTCCAACTTCTCCTCTCAGTCTCTGAATGATGCGGGTCAGCTCTGCTATTTCGTTCTTGGTGTCACGCAGATTATCAGCGTGCCTGCCAGCGGTCACTCGCAGCTCTTCAAACTTAAAAAGGAGACAGGGTCACCGGAGCCAGCAAAATGTGAGGACACTGATTAAAAGCCTGAGTCTTATCCTTGGACAGTCATAGAGCCATAAAGAAGTAGGGTTCTGAATGTCATCTATTTGAGGCAGGATCATCTCTATCCAAACCACCCCATACACATCTTTGTCTAACCTGTTACTAAAATACACTGACACAACCCCAGTTAAGCTGAGATAAATCTGGCGCGAAGTGGAGTTGCTCTGCAATTAATTTGCAGTAGATTTTTTCTCAATGCGTGTAAGGACTGGGTCGGAGGCAGCCTGGCCAAGTGGGAAGGCTGCCAGGGGATGGCTAGAGACAGGAGCTGCAAGACCAAGAGCCACGCAGTGGCAGGAGCTACTGTTCAAGCAACTAAATCCAGAGGCGAAGTCCATGTCACAGGACGAGTCAGAGGTCTGGAGTCAGGGACCAAGCTGTGAAAGCTGAGCAGAGTTCCCAAAAGTTCGAGTCCAGGGTCAGAAGCAAGAAAACCAAAAAGCACAAGACCCAGAGGGACAGACCACAGCAGACATCGCCCTGCCATCTGCCACGTGGACGGCATTGGGGAGGTTGTTATCCCCAACAGCCATTCGGGAGGTCCCAAGAGTGGCCCAGCAAGTTCATCAGCCAGGGTAGGGCTGGTGGCTATAGCAGCACAAAGTGAAAGCAAACATGTCCGTGCCCTTTGTTGCACCACAAATGCCCAAATTTGTGGCGGTGACAAAAGGTAGGATTAATTCGCGTCTCTGTTTTGTTGGTTCGTTTTAAGGCTGGCGAGTGCAGGCAGCCCAGACATGCCTGAGCTCTCCAGCCAGGTGCTCCCAGGGCCTCAAGGACCCCATCCAGCGCATCTCAGGAATTCCTTACAGGGGAACTGGGGCACAGGACTTGTGAGGTTACCCAGAGGTGGTGGACTCTCCATCCTTGGAGGTGTTAAATCTCAGGTAGACAAAGCTTGGCTGGGAGGAACTAGTTGAAGCTGGCCCTGCTTTGAGCAGGGGGTTAGACTAAATGTGACCTCTTGAGGTCCCTTCCAAGCCTCCAATTCCTGGGGCATACAGGATCAGATCCCTGAAGACCTGGAAGCACCTGCCGGGTTTCCCCGCTTGCAGAGTCACGCTCAAGGAGTCCAGCTCAAGGCACAGCTGCAGATGGGGAAATCCCAATGTCTCCCATATGATCAGGCCCCTGCCACTCCTAGGAGTTTCACCCAGGGAAGCAGATCAGCTGTGTCAGGGCACAGCCTGGCACAAGTGATCCACTTCATTTAGTGACATTTGTTCATAGCCTTGGGCTGGGCTGGGCTAACTGACATCCAGTCCTCCTTTTCCATGATGCTCACCTTGCTTTCATACCAAGCCTCTGCCTCAGCTCGGCTCCTGCTGGCGATATCCTCATACTGAGCTTTGACCTCCGTGATAATGCCGTCCAAATCCAGGTTCCGGCTGTTGTCCATTTGCACAATGACGGACGTGTCTGAGATATGGGAGTGAAGCATGTGGATTTCCTGCAGGTGGCATGGGAAGCAATCGGTTACTTATGCCCAGGGATCCTTTCCTTACCTAAGCTTTGCTCAGTATCAAGTCTTACCATGTTTAATTATGCACAGAGTAAATGAGGGTGCAGACGTGTAGCACAATTATGGCAGAGCTACGTACTCTGGGTTTTATTCAGCGTTGGGTGCATTTACACATTCATTAATGTGCTTCTGCTAATGCGCATTATATTTAGTACCTCCGTTGTGAGGCTTGTTAGCCTATTTTAATGCGCAATAGTGAAAGCACACTTTTTGTGATGCTTTAATGCGCATTAAAGTAGGCTGATGTGCATTAAAGCGCACGTGTAGATGTACCCTTTGTGTCCCAAATCTGCCATTAATGCCTGAATGATTCCCCCCTCATTGATCTGTTCTTGCTTTGACCAGGCTAAACAAGAGGAGAATCTCTGGTGTCCGATACTTAGGTTGGCAGGAAAGATCCATAACCTTTCCCTTCTGCTGTTCTTTAGGATAAGTCACTTCAAGATCTTGCAACCTCCCAGCTCTAGGTAGAGAAGACGTAAGGCCATTACCTCCTCATAGAGAGATTTCAGGAAGATGATTTCATCTTTTAGACTCTCCACCCTGGCCTCCAGTTCTGCCTTGTTCAAGAAGACACAGTCCACCTCCTAAGGGAAGATCATGAACAGAATAGTTCATTGAGGGTAGACTCCTGAGGTGAACATCTGAAAAATTAGGACTTTCAAGACACTCAGGGGAACATGGGCCAGTTCCCACTGGCTCTGTCCAGCCGAGCTTGGACCCGAGCAGAGTATCCCTCATGCTGCACCTGTGTGCTGTACCAGCCATATTTTTATCACGTGAACAGAAAGCCACATGCGTTGTGCGTTCTTGGTAAGTGGAGGAAAAGGACGGTGAGTCAAAGTATGAATCACTCACCTTCTTAAGAACAACAAACTCATTCTCAGCACACGTTCGTCGACTGCATTCCTCTTCGTACCTGATGGGGAAAGGAAAGAGGATTTGTTTAAGGTAGAGCAAGGTTGACTTGTTCCTTGCCTGCAGTTTCTAGGCTCGATGAAGATGATCGCAAGTATGAGCCATACTCCCCAGGCTGCCGTCCAATGACCACGATGCCTTTTGTTTCGCACTTACATTTTTTTGTTGGTCTCCATGACCTCGTGTGCTGCTTTTAGATCTGCCTCTAGCTGGGCTCCCTCGCAACCCAGAGCCTCCAGCTGCTTTCTCAGATTACAGATATAAGCATCTAACGTGGGCATAATGGTGTTTCTGCGACATTGCTGATTCTGCAGGAAGCTCCATTTGGTCTCCAGTACTTTGTTTTGTTGCTCCAGGAATCGGACCTGAAATACCAGTTGAAGGAGGTTAAATGCCTGTGGGGAGCCAGTTTATACACAGTGGGTGCATCTACACATTCATTTAATGCACAGTAGTTACTGCACATTTAATTTAGTGTTTGCTTAATGAGGTACTAATTAAAGGCATGGTAACTAGAGCTACTGCATGGTAGTACCAGCAAACGCCTTTTTAGTGACGCTACTGTGCACTAACCTAATAATACTACGCAGTAGCATATTAACACTGCCCGTGTTGTGACACGCTACTGTGCAATGTTATTAGGCTACTGCGCATTAAGACTCTGCTGTAGATGCACCCAGTGGGTACGTTTACATGCATGCTTTACTACAGATTAGACTAATTAGCTCCACAGGAATGTGTCACTGTCTACACGTGCATCAGTATTATGATGCAGGAAACTAATGAACTCTGCTGTCAGATAGTACTATCAGGGACAATACTATCTTACAGAGGAGCAGTTAACTACAGTAAAATGCATACCTGCTGACCACGGGTGTAAATCGTGCCCAATCAGCCCAGCCAGATAGGGTTCAGACTCCTCCCTGCACCTAGCCACACACCTCTGTAGGCTTTGTTTCCCAGCCAGCCCCTCCGCCACATGTTGCTGCCACCCAGAGCCTGGGGCTGACCCCCCTCCCCATGCCCTTTGCCAGCTGGGCCTGCTTCACCCCAGCTCAAATTGCTGCTCTCCCTGGTGCATGTATAGATGCGGCGCCTGGGAGCAGTTTACTCTGACCCCAACTGCTCCGGAGTTTATTGCTTCGCTCATGTAGATGCACCCAGTGTTGCTTAAAGAGATTGGTCAGACAGACGTGCATGCACACCATTCAGTACACTCGTCCTTCCACACAGCATTCATACCACAAACACACCCGACACAGATACATGCCACCCATGCGCTGACACACGTGATCTACAAAACAGACATGCAAATCCACCAACATCTCCAGAATCCACCAACATCTCCAGAAAATACCATGTTTTTGTCATCTTAAAAACAGCAGTGACTTGGGGATAGTCCGCAATGAAATGGGAGAACACAGGTGAGGGAAATCACTGTTGATATCGCCTAGCTTTTTCCCAAAATTAAGCTTTTTTTCTGACTATATCTACATATACATCACAAGAGAAGATCAGGGAGAGCTTCCCTATAACATTTATGATGGTCACTATATAGCATCTATGATGGTTTACAAAGCATTTGGCCCTCTAGTAGGGGTCTAAAAACAGCCATGAAGAACAACAGGTGCAATATCTACCAATAGCAGATAAGACACGATTCTCTGATGCAGTGGATTCTGGTTGAAATCGGCCAATGGAGAATTGTCTTGAAAGTATGGGTCTCTCTGGTCATATTGAGCTCAGAAGGAAGGGGCTCTTGCACCACTTGCTTATGTTTTTGTTGTAAAAGGTGCACAGTTAAGAAAAGGGGAAAGGGTCTGGACTTTTCACTAAGTTGAAGGAGGTGACTACTACGTGTCATACAGCTAGTGTGGGGACTGACCTCACATGCAGCAGCCCTAACATTACAAGAGCGTACATGCTTAGCATGCAATGAACTGAGCAGTAGCTGAATATCTGGCACACAGGGCTTTCAATATTGACATTGGTTCCTAGTAGAAGCCTGGTGCATCGATGGCTGTTGGGAAACCCGAGGGAGATCTCTCATCTTACCTTGTCAATGAAAGAAGCAAACTTGTTGTTGAGGGTTTTGATCTGCTCCTTCTCCTGGAATTTCACTGTTTGCATGGTTGGGTCAATCTCCAGCTTAACAGGTTGGAGCAGCTGCTCGTTCACAGTGACCGGTGCAATTGGTGGACAAGGCCCAGAGACTCCACCAACTCTGTAGCTGAAGCCAGCATTGCCATAGCCATGTCCCAGAACATACTCATATCCATATCTCAGAGGTGGACATCTACCAACAGCAATTCTGGGTTTGTAGGGTGCTGCCCCACTGAGGCTTCGGCTGCCAAAGTAGCTTAGTCCTCTGTAGCCTACACCACCGGCTCCCTGGCACGAGACGCTGTATGGCCTCATGTTCCTTGGTAAGACAGCAGAAGAAGAGCTAAAATTCTGGACACGATAGGAACGGCAAGACATCGTGTCTGATGGAAGAGGCAACAAAAGCAGAGACAGTTGCAGGTAGCAGAATGCAAGGTGCTGTCTCTTCTGATCTTGATGTAGCCTCTTCTTCCTTTTTATCGTTGTTGGACACCAGGGTTTGGTCCTATGAAATAACCACAAAGCTTTTATGACATACATCAGCTTGTGCTACTTAGCATATATTATGCTTACTAGCAGAGAAAGCGGCAGCTCAATTGCTCTATAAAGGGCTGACAAATGCTGTGAAGTCCGTAGGGCCACATTAAGGTCTTGAGTAATCGAATCAGTGTCAGCAGAGTTATGTTGGGGGTGATTTGGCCCATTGTTTTCAGTCACTTGCATATAAAATGCCACCTTCCCATTTTTATAGGTTGGATTAGTGCTGAATGAATGAAACCAACTGTTTTGAAGCAGACAACGCATTTGCATCGAGAGTCGCGTTTTGATTTCGGTGTGATGTCAGTGCAGCAACGCATGAGTTTCACTACAAAGTCCATGTAGCTGGTATGATACATTTGGAAGTATAGCAATTATAGATAAAAATGTATCGGGACCTAATGTCTCAAGTTTTGTGGACGTGTTAACACTGAATGACCACATAAAAATGTAGAGTGTGTTTTTTGGCCCACATTTTTAGCCAATGGATTTGCAGTTGGAGAATTCACCACGGATGGGAAAGCAGAAACATCTTCTGTATGCCATGAATCGCCATCTTTGGAAGCATTTAAGAGAAGGTAAGGCAAACATTTGACTGGGATTTTTTATTTGATTTATATGCCGTCCTTCCCAACAAAGGTTTAGTCAGGGATGAGCTTGCATTGAGCAGAGGTTTGGATTCGATGTGACTTCCTGAGGACCCTTCTAGCCCCACTTCTCTATGATTCTGTGAAACCACCCTCGCTACAAGGTTATTTGTGAATTTTTCTCTGTCGTGTTTGTTCAAAATTACAGACAATCCAGATATCGAATGGGAAAATCTTTGGGGAACAGGAGTACTGTGCCCCTTCCAGCTCGAGTCATTATCACAGGTCTATGAACAATCATGTGTCCTACATAGTTACTTGTTTTGGATGCTAAAGAGCTTGAAGTCATATAGATGGCAGAGGAAGTCACCTGCCAGAGAAGGAATGTCAGAATGCAAAAAAAAATTGAAACTTTCTGCTTAAGCTCTAGAGGAAGATGGGTTTTTGACAGATCAGAAGAGCTGTCAGTCATGCCTTGCTGTGCATTAAAACAAATTCCTTGCACGTCTCTGCTAATACTATGATGTTGCCTTTAAAATGTCTATGGTTGCTAACACTGGCTTGGCTCCACTCAATTAGGAATCCCAAAGGTATTAATTCTAGCAGAGGTGGCTGGGAAAGAGGCTTTAAGTTGCCTGGAAAGTTTTGAATTTTTTGAAAAAAATTCCTCCTAAATTGAGAAGAAAATAATGAGAGAGAGAGAATGAAAGTCTGCAATGATTGTGTTGTGGGAACATATTTTGGTGGTGCCAGTGTTTTGTTTTTTTCAGAAATGAACATGCTTCCTGGCATAGGCAAGTCTGGGGAGCACCAGATTGCCGACAGGGTGGGGGTCCCCCAGGAGTTGATCGCTGACCGAGGGGGTGGAGGCGGGAGGGATCCCCCAGCAGCCGATCACCGATCCAGTGGCAAAACCAGAAGTGCACTTCTGGCAGCACTTCCAGTTTCGCAGCTGGTGCTTCCAGGGGGTGCATGGCTGATCTCAGTGGGTGCACATGCACCTGCGTGCACCCCCTATGTGTCACCAGTGCTTCCTGGACTTTTATCCTCCGTAAAGAATGTGAACAGTTTGATAGGTCTGGGAGCCCAAAGTGCAGCAGCCTACCAGGTGAGCTGCCAAAGCTAGCAGGGATATGCACACCATCTCCAGGATGCGGCCAAGAGCACGGCCATGAAACAACCCTGACTGCTGGCTATTGGGAAAACCTTTTTCACTGTTAGAACAGTGAGGCAGTGGAATAGATGTCTAGGGATGCTGAGGACTCTCCTGTTGGAGGTGTTCAAGAGGAGCTTGGACTGGCACTGGTCAGGGATGACCTAGGCATAGCTATGCCTATGTTCTACTATGGGTATTTCCTATACTTCTGGGTTTTGTCGATTGTTGCATGGGGCCAGGAGGGAAATTTTTCTCCTCCTGCTCCTACATGCATCAGGGTTTTTTTTAACAAGCCTTTCTCACAAGCGTTGGGCACTGGCTACAGCCAAGCCTGGGATTTTGACTGGGCTGTGCCAATGCTCCTGCTGGGATTTACCCAAAGGTTCTTGGCTAGAGGGTCTTGCCCCTCCACTCATGGTCAGACCAATCACCGTATTTGGGGTCAGGAAGGAATTTTCCCCCATGGTCATGTTGGTATGGACTGTGGGGGTGTTTCCTTTTCTCTGTGGTGGAGGGGCATGGCCTTCTTCCTGGGATCTCTTGTATGTATTTTTAACAACCTTGCAGCAGCAGGACATTGGCTGCCATGGGCCCTCTGCTTTACCTGTAGCAGATCAGGGCATTGTGTCTTGTGTTGTGTTCGGGTTGGTTATGTCATTTTGCTAAGAGGCTACTCAATGGATTTGTATGGGATGATTTAGGTAGGGATTATCCTGCCTCAGGCAGGGGTTGGACTAGACGACGGATGGAGGTCCCTTCCAGCACTTCTCTGTGACTCTGCTTATGCCACTTCTCCAAAAGGAGGCAAAGTAGCTGGCTAGGAGCAGTACTGAATGCTCAACTCAAGCTCTGTTCTCAGGTCCTCTGTTTTGGACATGCTTTCTTGGACACTCAGCTGTTTAGAAATTACCCAGAAAGCAGTTCTGGCAGCTGCTGACACAATAAATAGAAAATCATCTTACTGTGTGCCTAAGAAAGTCAGCCCAATGCAATGCTTGGGCTGGCTTTCTGGCTTAGGGACTGCACCCAGAGAGCGGTGGTGGATGGGTCATTCTTGGCCTGGAGGGAGGTGGGCAGTGGGGTCCCGCAGGGTTCGGTCCTCGGACCGGTATTATTTAATATCTTCATCAGCGATTTGGACGAGGGCATGGAGAGCACCCTCTCCAAGTTCACTGATGATACCAAGTTATGGGGCAAAGTTAGTACACTGGAGGGCAGGAAGCAGATTCAGGCCGACCTGGACAGGTTGGATCAATGGGCAGAGAGAAATAGGATGCAATTTAATAAAGATAAATGTAAGGTACTCCACCTGGGAAGGAGAAATCCCCAGCACACCTACAAGTTGGGGAGTGTCCTTCTTAGCAGCTCGGAGGCAGAGAGGGATCTTGGAGTCATAATTGACTCCAAGATGAACATGAGCCGGCAGTGTAACGAGGCCATCAACAAGGCCAATCGCACCTTGTTGTGCATTAGCAGGTGCATGACTAATAGATCAAAGGAGGTGATGCTCCCCCTCTATGCGGCACTGGTCAGGCCACAGTTGGAGTACTGTGTCCAGTTTGGGCGCCGCACTTCAAGAGGGACGTGGGGAATCTCAAGAGGGTCCAGAGGAGGACCACTCGCATGATTAGTGGCCTTTGGGAAAGACCCTACGGGGGAGGTTGAGAGAGCTGAATCTCTTCAGCCTTCACAAGAGATGGCTGAGGGGAGATCTTGTGGCCGCCTATAAATTTATTAGGGGAGATCAACGGGGAATAGGTGACGTGCTGTTTACTAGGGCACCCCAGGGAGTGACTAGGAATAACGGGTGTAAACTAATTGAGAGTGGATTTAGGTTAGATATTAGGAAGAAATTTTTCACAGTAAGGGTGGCCAGGATCTGGAATGGGCTTCCAAGAGAGGTGGTGCTATCACCTCGCTTGGAGGTCTTCAAGAAGAGTCTTGATAGTCACCTGGCTGGGGTCATCTGACCTCGGTCCTCTTTCCTGCCAGGGGCAGGGGCTCGGATACGATGATCCATTGTGGTCCCTTCCGACTCTACAATCTATGAATCTATGCTTGAACAACTGACTGCTCGTGCTGGTTCTCTGGCTGTGATTGCCACTGATGGAGACGAATGAATTCTAATTATACAGTGCCCACATAAAAAAAATGAAATCTGATGGTCAATGGAACTGATTCAAACAACATCAGTTGTCTGGCCAATCTGACCAGCACTACGAATGAAAGGGACTGGGGGGTAATAATTGACCACAGTATGAACATGAGCTGGCAGTGCGACCCTGTAGCCAGCAGGGCAAATAATACTCTGGTGTGCATTGATTGATGCATCTCTAGCAAAACCAAGGAAGCGATTCTTCCGCTCTACTCGGCATTGGCGAGACCGCAGATGGAGTACTGCCTCCAGTTCTGGGTGCCGCACTTCAACAAGGATGTGGAAAAGCTCAAGAGGGTCTAGAGAAGAGCCAACCATATGATCAGAGACTTGCATGGCAAGCCATACAATGTAAGGCTGAGGGACCTGGGACTCTTCAGCATGAAGAAGAGAGGGCTGAGAGGGGACTTGGTAGCAGTTTACCGCTGCATCGGGGCGTACATCAAGGGCTTGGTGAACACCTGGTCACCAGGGCACCCTTGGGGAAAACCAGGAGCAATGGTCACAAACTCCTGGAAGACAGCTTCAGGCTCAACATTAGGAAAAACTTCTTCACAGCTAGGGTGTCCAGACTGTGGAATAAGAAACCTGCAGCGGTGGTGCAATCGCCTAGCCTGGAAATCTTCAAGGGGAGACTGGACAGTCACCTTGCTGGGTCACTTGACCCCTGTTGTCTTTCCTGCTTGGTGCAGGAGGCTGGACCCGATCATCTTCCAAGGTCCCTTCCAGCCCCTTACAAACTATGAATCTATGAAACATATTTCAGATCAGGTCAAAGAAACCAAGCATTCAGGTTTGGCCTGAGCCTATCCAGAACAAAGAGATTTCATTCTGGTTTTCACCAAACCGTTCCCCATGAGCCCCTGCTCACTCCCCTTAAACAGCTGACCTCTACATTCCTGAATAGGAAGACTTTTTGGATGCTCTGGTGCCATTTGGTTCA